CTGGCCTTTCCTAAGAAAAGAAGTCATTGAAGAGGACCAACTCTTGAAGGAGTTGGAAGCGCTGAGTATTTGTCACCAAAGTAGCGTTCATTTAAAAGGGGAGGGAACCTTATGAACCCTTTTTTAATTAAAGTGATGATGCAAAGGAGCAAAAACCCATCTGCAGAACTGGACAGATATTTAGCTAACGGATCATTTGCGAGCCAAGAAATATGAGACCAGCAGTTTCTCCTGCATGCTGACCTGCACGTCTCAGGAAATATTGTGCTGTCGGTGACTGAGACGAAGCAGAGTCGATGACAATATGTCATGGAAGGGATGAGGATTGCTCTCCAAGGTGGACCCTCAGGTCCTTGGGGCACAGAAGTTAAATGGCCAAATGCAGATCCCTGCTTTTTGCTGTTTATCAAATCTATGGCCTCCTGTGTGTGGTGGGGTCGTGTCTGCACTGTGCTATAAACCCTGAGCCTTGGACTTTTCCTGGCTTGATTCCTCATCCCTGTGTGCAGCGGGTGTGTTATTTTTAAAAATAAATTAAATGCGGAGAAGAGCCTCTATCTAGGCCTTTGAGTAGCGTCTTAATTGGCGTTGCTCCCCAGGGACCAGGCAAGCCCTGGAGAATGCCGTAATATCAGAATAACGAGCTATTAATAAATCATGCTGCTCTCCTCCACTTGGATCTGCTGGATGGGATCTCGGAGCCCCCAGTTAAGGCAACTGGCGTCTGTGCGGCTGAAAATAGCCCTGGGGGTGAGATTTTGTCATGCTGCTTCTGGATGTCCTTATGGATGAACAGGGACAGAGCAAGATGGGTGCCCAGGCAGTGCACCTGGTATTCGCCCAGCGTGGGCTTCGATGAGACCCTCAGGACGGCGTCCTGCTCTCCTGGGTGCCCGCGGGACAGGGCTGCAGGGCCTGGCAGGGTCTTCTGCTCCGGTGTCTGGGGCAGGAAGGACAGCGCAGGAGCTTCGGCTCTCGCTCGCATCGCTGCCTTCGGCCGGGTAAAATAACCCGAGCACGTTCGTACCTTTGTTTAGAGGATCAGGTGGCCAAAGTAGTAACCAAAAGTGGAGTGTGGTTACAGAGGGCTCATTCATTATGAACGCGACAGCTTATTTGTAAGTGCACCGGTGACTGTTCGGAAAGGAGAAGGAGCCTTTTAAGCCCAGTGGAGAAATTTAAGTTGGAAGCACAGAGCTGCAAAGCTCTCCCAAACTCCTAATGGCTCTTGACACGGTTGAGAACAGGCTCCCGTGAGGCAGCGTCTTGGAAAAGCAACGGCAGACACGAGTCACGCACGACCCGTGCGTCGCGTGGGACCCACGGACTGCGTGTGCTGTAGACACACAGCGAAGCTTCCTGTGAGCCGCAGGGTTTGCACAGGTGGAGGGGAGCTAGGAAGAGCTGCATGAGGCTGTTTGCATCGTTTCCAGCTGCATGTCCTGCTGCGGTGCCAGAAAGACCCAGGAAGCTGCTGCTGCCAAACGTCACCTGCCAGTGGAGCGTTGTGGCAGCAATGACGGGTTCTCTGACCACGGCCAGTCGCCTCGCAGGGAAACTTGCTTCAGCATCCAGCCTGGCTCTAAATCCTTTCCTTGCTGCCTGCAGCTGTGTAAAAAATCATAATGCGTTCCCCCTTCTGCTTGATTCGCTTAAAGAGAAAGGGAGATGTGGTGAAATTAAGGCACAGAAAAAAGCCTTTTAAAGATAATCTCCTGGGCCTCCTGCATTGCACTGAGCAGTGCATTTATTGCCAGGGAATTGCTCAGCTTGGGTAATAGGATCAGGGCTGGAAATTGGCCTCTGGGATTGCATCCTTCGCTGCAATGCAAGCACAGAGGGCTGGAAATGTCCCTGCACTCCAAGGATATCCCTGATATCAAGCAGCCCCGTTGGGTCAAGAGAGTCTAATGTCCTGATGCAGGTGCTGGTGGTGTCTGGGCACCAGGGAGCGGGGTGCAAGGTGGGTGCTGGGTGCTGGCTCAGAGGTGAGCAGGGGTGTGAAGACGTGCACCGTACACTCAGGTTCTCCAGCTGTGGAAGGAGTGCGAATGCAGAACCATCCAGTCACAGCAGGACCTCCTGGACCCAAGTCTAGTTGGAGAAGGAAGGTAACGGGGCATCTTTCTTATCCTTAATGGACACTGTGGTCCATGAACCTACTGGAGATGTTTCTCCTGGGCTGAGGAGTGCAGGAACAGGCCCAGATTGAGCTGGCACCGACACATGCTCTCTTGTGCCGGCTGCTCCTTCACTCACTTAGGGCTGTCCAGGGCCCTGGGCTGTGACCGATGCTCCTGTGCTGCTCCCACTGCCTGATGTCACCCTCGGAGCAGCACTGCCGCGTGCCCTGGGGGCCACCTCAGAGCTATCAGGAAGCTCCTAGGCAGTTTGGCAGCTCCCTGCTGCCTCTCTGGCCATGGTCATGACCACCCAAGGATGCCCAGCACCCTCCCAGGATGGTGGCGCAGGGCTCATGGGAGAGTTTTGGGGGTCTCCATCTCTCCACGGGACGTGTTTTAGAGATGCTCTGCCCAGGGCAGCAGAGTGGCTCCCAGAGGGGACAACGGACCCTTCGTCAAGTGTGTGGGGAGTTACCTGCTCTGGAGCGCAGAGAGCGCCAGAAGGCAGCGAGCAGGAGGCCTGGGAGAGGCACCGGGTCCTGCCCTGCTGCACCACCACGGGCACGTCTGCATTTTGGGAGCTGTACAAGCCCAGGGTGAGAAAAGGGGCAGGGGATGCACAGGCAAACACAGCAGGGCTCTCTTCATACCCCTACTTGGCCCAAAAATTCCTGAACATGAGTCTGGCCTCACTTTACTCCCATGCCAGATTTGCTACAGCTTTTGATAGGAAAGACCAGCACTGGCACCGGATGGGTTATCAAAATATGACTAATAGGGAAGGTGGGCAGAGTGAAAGCATTAGTAAATGGAAGGTGTCAGCAGCTAGCTTTGTGTTGCTTTTGATGAAACTGTCTATAAAACTGCTTTAAATTGCCTTAAAAAAAAGCTACACCAGGAGGAAAGGCAACAAGCCGGGTTTTCATTTTTTTTTTTTCCCAACCTGACTTTCATTCTAAAAATATCAACTCCCATCGCTGAGGTACCAGCTTTTAGCGGGGCTGGAAGCCGGAGGCAGCTGGCCGCATCCCGCCGAGCTCAGGCTCCAGCATCGCTCGTGCTCGGCCCAAGAGCCGCTCGGCACCGTTCGAGGCAGCGGGACGAGATTAAACCACCGGCAGCCCGTGCTTAGTGGAGCCCCGAAGTGCCCCAGGCTGGGGTCCAAGGCGGCCGGCGGTGGGAGTGGAGGCATCATGTCCCAGCCGCATCAGCGAAGGGGGCGAGGGCCATCCCCAGCCTCCAGCTGAGCCCTTTCCACCTTGTACATCCCCCGTCCGCAGCTGCAGGGATATCCCCGTCTTGCTACGGGGTCATTTCAGGGCTGTCCCAACCTCTGCTCCTTGTGTCGCTCCTGCCATGTCCAGTCCCTGGGATGTTCTCCGCCTGCTTGGCAAATCCCACTCCTGGCTTGGCAGTTTTACTTCTCATTCCCATCATCTGATTCATGCCCAGCACCATCCTGGGGTGAGAATACTGCAAGAAGGGCAATGAGGAGCCATGTTGCTGCTGGAGTCCTTAGCAAGGCTCCCTAAATACCTTTCCAAGTGGGTCAGTCTTGGAAAAGGGATGGAGGGCTCCCATTTATTCAGGCATTCAGGTGTAGTTTCTGTATGGTTCTTCCACAACTCAGAGCTGGGCTGAGGTCTGCCAATCTCATTCCATAGCTGAAATACATAGCTAAGACCAACTTAAGCAGCCATCTCCTCCTTGTGCCTTGGTTTCCCTTCTTGCAAAATAAGGGAGATGTTGTCTGTGGATTGGTGCCAAACGTGCCAGTTCCGGCTACGTGTGGCAGATCCCTGATGGCAGGAGATGGGCAGGAGACACCACCAGGACACATGGTGACAGGGAGATGGTCCACACTAGGACCTGCCCAGCCACCATCTATGCACTGAGTTAGGCTTTACAGGATTTCATGCCACAGCTCCCAGCAAGGCTTGGGGGAAGGAGGGAAAAGAGAGCAGTGAGGAGGAAAGCAGAGAAAAGGGAAACTGGTGGGAAAGTGCTAATCCCCCCGAAAGGAGGACAGCGGTCATTGAGCCACGAGGCTGGTGTATTACAGTTCCAAAGGTCGGTGTTAATCCATAAGCTACAAAGATTGAGGTTTTTTAATCTCCGCTCTGCCAAGGGTGGCTCCAAGATGCTGAGGCCAGAGGGCCACCCTGTACATGTGGCTGGGAGCATCTCTCGTCCCACAGGACATCATGTCAGCAGGACGGTCTGCACCTGGAGGAAGGGACCACGGCAGAGAAGGATCTGTGCCACCAGCCCAGATACCTCTGTGGCCACCACGGGGTGCAAAGGAGGCTGGCTGTGCTGAATCACAAGTTTGCAGAGTCTCAGGCTGCTTCTCTTTGCTCCTAAGATGCCCTCAGGTCTCTGGCTTGGTCCAGGGTGGCCAGGACAATGCTAACACCATTTTTGGCTTTTTCACCACAACCAGGCATTTTGAGTCCCCTCTTATCCCAGGATGCTCTCATGAACATGTGCATGGTCTCCTTTGCTCACATCATAGGCGCATGTGCAAGAGCTGCCTTCCACCCACCAGAAACGTCACGGATGCAGCCGCCTCCATCCGCAGGCTCTGGGGACACCTCATCCGGCAGCGCTGCATAGCTGAGTGCTAGCCTGGTTTACTCCAGGAGAGCAGCACTTTCCCGGAGCAATGGGTGCCGTCCATGGCGACAGAACTGGTGTGAGGTACAGACCTCCAGCCTTGTATCCACTTGCAAAACTCTGCCCTTCCTTCTTCTTCAGTTTCCCTTTTTTTTTTTTTTTCCAAATGGCATGCGCTGATAGTGAGGCTTATTTATCCTGATTGCTCATACCACATCTCTTGTCCTTCCAGGTGCATGCGAGCATGGTAGTGTGCCCATAAGACCATGCTCTACACAATGACATATTGGCTCCCAGTCCTGGTCCTCCACCTGATCTTCCCGAGAACTGCCCCAGCCTGCCCGGCTCGCTGTGAGTGTGCCCCTCAGATCAAGTCGGTCGTGTGCCATCGCAAACGGCTCACCGCCATCCCCGAGGGCATCCCCACTGAAACCAAGATCCTGGAGCTCAACAAGAACCGCATCCGCTGCCTCAACCCCGGTGACCTCTCCCCGTACCCCTTGCTGGAGGAGCTTGATTTCAGCGAGAACATCATTACCAATGTGGAGCCAGGCGCCTTCAGCAACCTGTTCAACCTGCAGACCTTGCGGCTACGAGGGAATCAGCTCAAGCTGATCCCCACAGGAGTCTTCACCAAGCTGACCAACCTCACCCTCCTGGACATTAGTGAGAATAAAATTGTCATCCTGCTGGACTACATGTTCCAGGACCTGCGAAACCTGAAGAGCCTGGAGGTAGGTGATAACGACTTGGTGTACATCTCCCAGAGAGCCTTCTCCGGGCTGCTCGGCCTGGAGCAGCTGACCATCGAGAGATGCAACCTGACCTCCATCTCTGCGGAGTCACTATCCTACCTCCAGAACCTAGAGGTGCTCCGGCTCCGACACCTCAGCATCTCTGCGCTGGAGGACCAGAACTTCAAGAAGCTCTACAACCTCCTGCAGCTGGAGATCGACAACTGGCCACTGCTGGAAGACATCTCCCCAACCAGCTTCCAGGGTCTGAACCTCACCTCTCTCTCCATCACCTACACCAACATCACAGCTGTGCCCACAGCTGCCTTGAGGAACCTGGTGTACCTCAGGTACCTGAACTTGTCCTACAATCCCATTAGCACTGTGCTGAAGGGCTCCTTTAAAGACCTAATTCGGCTCCAGGAGCTCCACATTGTGGGTGCTCTCCTGGTGTCTGTGGAGCCACAGGCTTTCTCTGGCCTGAGACAAATCCGTCTCCTCAACCTCTCCAGCAATTTCCTCTCCACGCTGGAGGAGAGCACCTTCCACTCTGTCAACACCCTGGAGACGCTGCGTGTGGACAAGAACCCGCTCGCCTGTGACTGCCGCCTCCTCTGGATCCTGCAGCGACGGAAGACGCTCAACTTTGACGGGCAGCAGCCCATGTGCTCCTCACCACCCGAGATACAGGGCAATGCCCTGCGCGACTTCCCGGACTCCATACTCTTTGAGTATTTCACCTGCCAGAAGCCCAAAATAAGGGATCGGAAGCTGCAGCACATCACGGCCCGGGAAGGACAGTCTGTCTCCTTCCTATGCCGGGCGGACGGGGAGCCAGACCCCTCCATCGTGTGGGTGTCCCCCCAGCACCGCATGATCACCACCAGAAGCACGGGGCGGGCGACCGTGCTGCCAGGGGGCACGCTGGAGATCCGATTTGCCCAGGTCCAAGACAGCGGCACCTATATCTGCATCGCCAGCAATGCCGGAGGCAACGACACCTACTTTGCCACCCTGACGGTCAAGGGGCATCCGGCCGATGGCTCCCCATATGCAAACCGGACTTTGTACCTCAGCGAGTTCAACGACACCTCCCACAATGACACACAAGTCTTCTTAAAGTTTACACTGGACCTCAAGACCATCTTGGTCTCCACGGCCATGGGTTGCATCACCTTCCTCGGGGTGGTGCTCTTCTGCTTCCTGCTCCTCTTTGTGTGGAGCCGAGGCCGGGGGCAGCACAAGAACAACTTCTCCGTGGAGTACTCCTTCCGTAAGGTGGATGGCCCCACCACCACCACAGGCCAAGGAGGAGCCAGGAAGTTCAACATGAAGATGATCTGAGCCTTTCTAAAGGAGAACCATTGTCTGATGTCCATCCCCAACCATAGTAGCTGGTGTGGCCGGAGCCGGGGTGGGGAAGACAGGCTTGGGAGCATCCTTTCCTTGTTTTCCAGTGACATCCGTGTCCCCTCCAGCGGGTTCGCTCCGATGATGCTGGCTGAGGATCACCACGAGGGTCCTGCTCAAGGCTCCTCACAGGCAGGACTGAGCAAGAGCTGCACTGCACACACCTCGGGGACAGGACACCTGGCCACGGCCCCCGGCCGCCCTCCCGCTGGGCAGAGGCAGCATGGGGACGGTCCCAGCCCGAGGGCTCAGAGGGCTCCCAATGTAGCTAACGTTCTTGCCTCTCAACTATGCATTTCTCAAACAAAGTGGTGAACAGCATGTGGGCCTGGGGAAAGACCTGATTCCCTTTTTCTCCTTTTTTTTTTTTTAAGAGAGACTATGGAAAAAAATTGTGGCAGTTGTTTAAAATTATTATTTTTCCCTTCCTTTCCTCCTCCAAACATTTTTATACTGAATTTCCAAGATAAAAGTCTTCCGGTGCAACACAGGACTGGGTCAGTGGGGGAGGCTGCTGCAACACGGGGACCCCAGTGCTCCCCAAACCCCCTTGGCAAAACCGGACCCCCAGGGCTGGGCTGTTGCCTTGCAAGCTTGTTGACATCTGCTAACCTGGGGGTCCGGGGGCACTCCTGCAATAGCAATAACAGCCCATAGGCCCCAGATTGGGCAGTTCTGTGGCCTTTTCCTTTAGTTTGCAAGATCAGAGCAACCCCCTGCTTTGGGAGATGAATTTTCCTAAGGGGGGCACCCGAGAGTGGTGGGCAGCCTCGGGGTGGCATCTCTGCCACTTCTGGCTCCAGCATGCGCCACTTCTGCCTCTCGGCCCTTTTCTTTGCCCTCTGTGCAGTGGCAGCACCCACGTCCCGCTGCGGGGACCGTCCCCAGCCCAGCTGGCACCCCCTGAGCATGGGCTGGGGAGAGGAGCCTGGTGGCTCTGCAGGATCAGGGTTCGCAGCCCCTTCCCCAGCTTCCTTTTGCTCCTGCAGGTAAATCCCATCTTGTTTGTATTTCCTCGGCACCGGAGCGCTGGCGTTGCCTGGGCATCCCGGACAGCCTTGGAAAGGCAGCTCTGGGAACAACCGTGCTGGGATGCGGCTATGCGTGCCAGGTCCGGGTATCCAGAGCGGCCTCCCGCCCTGCGGGTCCTCTGCCCTGCGCCCCGTATCTCGCTGCACCCCCATCCCAGCCCAACACTGGGTCTGAGCCTATCACTGCAGCGCATTTTGGCTTCCCACCCCCTCAAACTGGACTGGATCCGCGCGGCATCCCTGGGATCAGCATCCAAAGCCGTATCCCGCCTCTCCTCATCCATCCTCTGCTGCCATCAGCCCGCTCGCATGCCCCAGGCTCCTGCTCGCGCCCCTAGCCATGCATGCCATGTTGTGGCCAGAGTCCCCCGGTGTCCCCCGCGTCCTCCTTTGGTGTCTTGGGGTTTTTGTTGTTCTTTTCTTTTTTTAATGGGGGGGGGGGGGGGTCATGGGGAGGGATGCGGGCGCAGAAAGTTGACAGCGGGATAATGCCGGCTGCCAGCAGAGGTTTTGGCAGTGCCGGAATTGCACTGTTTTCTATGTAATGAGCATGTGAACTAGATTTGTGGGAAAAGAGAAAAAAATGGAAAAAAAAAAAAAGGAGTCTTATGGGTTGGTTGCTTTTTCCCTTCTTCCTCGCGGCCGCGACATAGGGAAAGCCGGGATGGATGAGGAAAAGGGATCATAGGGGTAACAAATAACTGATTAATGCACATCCATTGAAACACCACTGCTATTAATATATTATTAATTATTAAGGGATTATGCCTTGATTTATTGTTATTATTATTAAGGAATGATGCCTTAATAATTATTAATTATTAAGGGATGCCAGGCTTGCCAGGCCGGGCATGAGGACAGCGTGGTGCAAGCACACGCAATGCTTCCATCTGCTGGAGAAAATGGCCCTGGCCATCGGTGCCCTGATTCCCACTGCCAGCCCTGGCCTCGAAGGCTCGCGGGGTCCTGGGGACCACAGGGAGGTGACGAGCCCAGGGGGTCTCAGCCCACCGGCTCCCTCAGCATCTTGGTGCTCTCCACGGCATCTCGGGTCGTCCCAAATCAGCCTCCCTGGGCACTCAGTGCCCTTGGCAAGTCCCCTTTCCCTGTTAGGGCCCTTAGGAGCCCCATTGAACACAGGATTTTCCATTGGGATGCTCTGCCTACAGTTTCTCCGATTTGCACTATGGTTTATCTTGAAAAAGAGGCTACCTCTCAGGGAGAAATATTGATGCTTGTAATAGATTTACTATTGTTCAAGACAAGTTGCTGCACATATTAACATAAAAGACTGATTAGGGTGAGGAAAATATACAGACCCCCTTGCCAAACACCATCAATAAGCCTGGGATCCTGCTGCATCTTAAATGCTCTCCATTTATATCCCTTATTTTTGCACTGCAATAGCCTGAGATGACGCGGTTGGGGAGAAATATAAAGCCAAGCTTCAGTGCTCTGCAGTGATTTAGTTGCAATTCCTTTGGGAGCTATGGAAGTATTGGAGCTCCCGCTGCCGCTGGGCTGTGACGACAGAGCAGATATGATGGAAAAACAAAGCAGCCACTGGCGGGGGAAGGCGCTGAAATGCTCCCGGGATCGCAGCTTGTCTGCATGGGCAGCAGGCACGACCCTGGCAGCATCCCGGGAAAATCCCTCCCTTCCACTGGATTCACCACCCAAGTGTGGGTTTGTCTTCTCCCAGACGACTGCCCAGCTCTTCTCAGTGGTCACAGTGCTAAAACATGCTGCCATCCCAATAAATATTTCATTGGCTGCAGCACGTGGCTGAGGTGCCTCCAAGATGGGGCCTTTGACAAGTGCTGTGGGCAAATGGACACAAAACTGCTGGACTTCTAGTGAAGCTGATGCAAGTATATATATATATATGTATATGTATATGTATGGGTGTGTATATATATATATACACACACATACGTGTATATATATATATAAATAACCAATAGGAATTGAACCAGCTGTTTCAATTTTCCAATGGAAAAGCCTCATCCTATCCATCCTGCCAGGCCTCCATGCAGCTCTCAGCAAAGTGGATCCTAAGATGGATGAATGGGCCCATGGGCTAATTGCTAATAAGTGCCATTAATTACTCTCTAATTAGTGCAAAGACCAAACACAAGGGGGCAGATATTCAAACGTGTCATTTTTTTTTTTCCAATGTTAAAAGTGCTGCTTTATCCTAGAGGGGATGGATGCTAGCGAGTGCAGGGCGGGTATTTCTGCATTTTCTGGGTTTGGTGGTTCAAGTCTCCACGGCACACGTAAAACACAGGGAGCAAACATGTTTACTATGGGTATGGCTCCCCAAACTCTTTTCTTTCTTGGGAAATCCTGGAAAAAATGGGCAAAAAGTAAATTCCTCCTCAGTAAAAAGGTATTTGCATAACATTTTTGCAAGTTAGGGAATTTGAGGAGTTTTGGGGGTGCTTGAGGGTGGAAAAAGAAGCACCCTGGAGCTCCCGTGCCCGTGTCAAAAGCGCCACATCACAGCGGATTGTGCAAGACAGCTGCTGGCAGCGCTCAAGGACGGATCCCAGCAGGACCCGCCGAGGCGCCAGGAGATGGAGTCAAAGCTGCTGCCGCTGCTGGGGAAAACTCAGAGGTACCGAGTCTTGCAAAGACTTCACTGCCCAATCAGAGGTGTCAAAGATGGTTTGAGCTACGGGGTGAAATGCTGCAGGGTCCTGAGGCCCCCCCCAGGATTATGGGGTGGAGTGAAGGGGATGATGTGGTCCAGAGTGGGGTGAAGCAGTACAGCAGGTTATGGCCAAGAAACTCTGTTTTTCTTAGAGAAAAGCACCCAGCTCTCACTGCTGCTTGCAAAGGCACTCGATGAGGACAGGGGGAAGTGAAACCCCCCACAGCACTGAGGCCCAATGGGCCACAGACGTCTCTTTCCAGCCTCCTCGGCGGCCTTTTGGTCCCCCCTTCCCCATATCCCCAGGGGGATTTTCCCCCTCGCGTGCCGTGCGTGTCCTGCTCCAGCAAGACCTTCTCCTGGCAGCCGCTGGTGGAGGGGATGCCAACCCCCGTGTACACACACACACACACGCACAAACACACGCGTGTGCACCAGCCCGCACTGTTGGGAGCCCCCAGCCATGGTGACAGCGCTAGGGCTGGAGACCCCTTCGAGAAAGAAGTGTCGCTGGCTGAGGCCAACCCCCTCCAGAGGCCACCAACAGTCCCCCCCACAATGCTCCCCAAACCGGGGCCACCCCGGCCACCACTTCCCCTTTCTCTTCCTTCTCACCCTGCGCCGGCACCGAGCAGAGCTGGCAGGGAGGAGCGCATGGACGTCCCACTGGACGGGACAAACCTGGACCTGGGCACCCCTGGAGCATCGTCCCCCATGCTGGACCCCGAGGGTGACCACTCGGCCCGGCCCCCTGACTCAGCCCTCATCTATGGCAATGTGGGTGAGTGTCGCTTGCGCAGGCACAGGGATGGGGGGAACAAAACTCGGTGACGTCCCTGGTGCCCTCCCGTGGTACCCGGCCTGCATCGCCTTGGGCTGCCTGGGAGCAGGGCTGGGTTTAGACTTCAAGCATCGCTTGGGGGCTGGAAATGTGGAGCACAGGGGGCAAATATCTACTGTGCCCCCCGCCCCGGGGAAGGCTGATCCCTGCCGTGTGCCTCTTCCCCAGGGGCGGCGCGTGCCCACCTCGTCCCCACCAAGACCAGCCGGAGGGAGGGAGCCAGGGAGGGCTCGCAGGGCAGCAAGGAGCCCCTGCCTCCCCCGCTCCCAAAAAAGCAGCTCCAGAGAGCGGAGTCCTTGCCGGAACCAGCGCTGGCACGGGAGGACACCCCGCCGTGCACAGGCAGCGGCCGCTTCATCAACCCGCCATCCCATCCGAGGTACCAGGTGGGAGCTGCCAGCTCCAGCACTCCACAGAATAGACCCTGCTGGGGACACAAGAGGCCACTGACCAAGTCCCAGAGCCTGGGGACACCCGTGGCCTGGAAAGGCAGCTCGGTCCCGTGGGTCAGCCCAGCTGAGCTGACATTCACGACTCCCGACGGGGAGCTTGGAGGCCTCCTGCAGGCCCTGGAGAGGAGGGCTGGGCTGTGCGAGGTGCTGGTGGGCGCCCAGCGCGCGTCCCTCGCCCGGCTCTCGGCCCGCGTCCAGGAGGACCTCCTGGGGAAGGAGGACCGGCAGCAGCTGCTGGCAGCGGAGCTGGCGGGCAAGAAATGGGCAGATCTCCGGATCCTGGAGAAGGAGCCGTGCTGCGAAGCGGGTGACGCCTGGTACTTCCGAGTGGGCTTCGCCTCCGGGCAAACCCAGCTGGTGTTCGCAGCCAAGGTAAGCATGGAAAGCCAGGAAAAGAGCCTACAAGGGCCCACTCTTGCAGCGCACGGTGGCGGTTTGGTGCTTCAGAGGAGTCAGGAGCATTGGCCTCGCTGTTGCAGCAGGCACTTCCCCTTCTAGCACCTATTTCTTCATTTCCTACCAAAGTCCCTGCCGACATGTCCCGGAAGGGTGGGGGAGGCAGCTCCCTGCCTGGCTTTGCAGCTCCCAGCCTGTCCAGGGTGGCTTCCACATGGAAATGGCCCAGAGGACACGTCAAAGAGAAGAGCATCCCTGGGGGAAAAGCCTCTCGGTGGGTCCATGGATGTGATCAGAGGCCAGCGCGGAGCCATCTCCCATGGCAGCGCAGCAGCAGTTTTCCAGCCCTGTAGAGCTGGGTTTGGGGTGTCCAACCTCACTCTTCCTAGTCCATTCCTTGCTCAAAACCTTGCTGGGGAGGGATGTGTTTCAGGGAGGCTGAGAGCGTGCAGGGCGAGAACTCAGTGCTACTTCTCCATTCCTCATCCTTCCCCTCCCAGGAGGTGACAAGGGATGCAACGGGGCTGCTGCCTCCCAGTCACCTGTTCCTGTCTCCCATAACCTACAACAGAGACTGTCCCAGCCAGTTTGGGTGGCTCTGAGCTGACATGGTGGCCTGAACCTGTACAAGGCATTAGTTGACCACTTGATGTTGTCCTCAGGCCAGGCAGGCCAATTCCCATCTCCTCTCCTAACAGGTCCTCAAGTCCCGCTCCTGCAGCCTGGCTGTGCAGACCTCCCTTGGGGTGCACTGCAGCATCCAGCAAGTGATCAGCCACTTCACTGACTCCCTCCCTCAGGAGCTTGCCCTCCCAAGAAACACCAGGAAGCATCGTCAGTCCCAGTCCAGAGAGGAGGACACAGCCTTCCTTGGTTCCCCTCGTGTACTGCAGGTTCTCATTTCTCCTGAGATTCCCTACCAGACCTTGGCAGACTTTGTGAAGGAATCCCACAAAGTGCACAAGACCAGCCCTGGTCACTACGAACGCCTGGCTTGCCTCCTCCTTCTGCAGGTGTGCACAGGGCTGGAGCACCTCAAGAGGCACAACGCTGGTCGAGGAGACATCTGCCCAGAGAACTTGCTGTTAGTGCAGTGCCCACGTCCTCCCCTGAGCCAGCAAAGCAAAGAGACATCCCCAGGACTCTCCCTTCCCAGGCTACTCATCAGCAACTTCTTCAAGGCTGAAGAAAAGAGAAGACCTTGTTCTACAACCCAAGAGCAAGACTGGACTGAAGGGCTTTCTGCACCATCCTCCCCAGTAGCAGATGAGCTGAACATAGGCATGCTGATCTACATGCTCTTACACGTGGACATCTCCTTGGAAAACGCCTTGGGCTTCAGGTGTAATAGGCTTCCTGAAATCCCATCCCTGTCTATCTATTCCACAGGGCTTAAGCATTTGGCAATGTTGCTTCTTCACAGAGATCCCTGTAAGAGGGTGTCTGTTGAAGAGGCAAAGAGCATCCTGCAGGTCCTGCTCTGGGGGCCTCGCCAGGAGCTCTTTGCCAGGAGCAAGAAGACACCTGACTTGCTCCAGAGCTGGGTGGATGTCAAGAGGGCTCTGCTGCTGCTGAAGTTTGCAGAGAAGATGGCTGGGGTTGGAGGGAGCCCTACCCTGGAGGAGTGGCTCTGCTGCCAGTACTTTAAAGAGGTCACTGAACACACACTCTACCAAGTGACACAGGCTCTCTACACTCCCTGAAACCTGGAGGGGTTATACATTGAACCCTTGGGGCATTTCGTCCACTCCATCCTCTTTTTCTTCTGAAGAAGAGATGCAGTCCCTGGAGTCAGAGTGCCAGGCAGTCCCTGAACGCTGAGGATGAAGTCGGTGTGTGCTGGGGGTTTCCAAAAGACAAGCCGAAGCTCAACCTGTCCAAGAGACCTCCTGAAAGACAAGAGCCTGTGGAGAATGGGGGGGTCTGGCCTAATTCGCCAGCCTCTCTCTCGCACAAGGAACCAAAGCTAGTCCTGGGAGCTGAATGGTAAAACTGTTTTTAAAGTCCTGCTCTGAGATGCTGCTTCTTCTGTAGCTCTTTAATGACAAGCCTAAGTAAGCTGGGACCAAACTCCTATCCTGTGTTACCTTGGCAAGGAGCTCCCACAATGCAGAAAATGTTTTTGCTCCTTCAGACCATTTTCAGTTGATGCCATTAATCCAGTTCATCAGAACATCTCAGGAGGGTTATCTTGATGGAAGCCACAAGGTGAAGCGCCAATTAAGAAGCTGATTATCTTAAGCAGGGTTTGAAGGGCTTCACCTCTAGACAAAAAAGATCCTGGTCCTCCAGATCCCTCCTCCTGTTCCACCTGAGATGACGCTTTGCACTAAACAACAGTACGATGGCAAACATTACACTTCACCTTAAGGCGCCACTATCAAAGGAGAAATACAATGCATTGTATATCCTCACTCTTTGGAAAGAGTTTGTGGCACGGCCACAAATATAAATGACATTTCCAAGTGGGAAATACAGCAGCCACACAGCTTCAATAAAACTCACATCTGAGCCTCTTAAATACTGGTCCTTTATGTGCTTCTTTTACAGCATTACACACCCTGATAATGTACCCAGGGAGAAATACAAAGCCAAGCTTCACTGCTCTGCGGTGATAAGCTGGAGTGGATGGCATTAGCACTGATAGAGCATAGTCAACAGTTCAGGTCAGTTGATGGTTGCTGCACCCAGAGGAATCAGCCTGGAGCGTTGGTCTCTGGATGAGCCCAAGGCAGGTCTTGCTATATGTGAGACACACGCACAGGTAAGTCTCATTTGAGGTATGTTAGGAATGAGACACTGCAAAGCCAGCACTTGGGTGTCCTGTGTCTCTGCACAGCAATCTCCATGGTGCAATCTATGATGTAAAATGTTAAGGCCTCAAGCTCCCCAGGCAGGAAGATAACTCATAAAGGCCAGGATCTTGCACAACGTCTCCAAGGTCTGGCTGTAACACCCAGGGCTGGAGGGGCCGGGTTAGCATGTCAGGGACCCAGAGGCCTGTTTTGGACCTGGCTCATTGTTCCCCACCACCCTGGCCTTTGCGGTGTGTTTTTCCCTTGGTATGGAGAACTTCAGCCAGCTCCACAGCCAGTGATGCAATTCTTTGAAAGAAGCTCACTGGAGTTTTTTCTGGGAAGTTCTTTTTGCCTGCAGGCAAGATGCTTCCACCCTGACTCACTTAGTGACTCAGCTGAGCACAGTTAGCAATAAATTCACTCCCTGTATAAAAAAAGACCTCTAATGAGACCCACACACTTGTCCCAGGGCCCTCGAGGGGGTGTCTCAAGGAAAGGTTGTGTGAGTGGCAGTTGCTCAGCACCAGGCAGGATCTACACCTTTATCAGCGCTTGGGTGCTGGCTTAAGAGCCCAATTTCCACAGTTGCTTTGGCTCAGGAAGGAGCATCGTGCAAGTCCCTGCTCAGGTAATTTATACACAGCAATTAATCCCTTCCACAATATCACCTGAGCAGTGAGCAGTCATAGGCTGGTCATGCAGTGAAACGGACCCTCCAGCTGGTCCTGCTGGGTCAGGCCCTCCATCCCTATGGATGCCATGACCACCCATGCAGTTGTGGTGTGGCTGGATCTAGGAGGGTTCCTTGTAGAAGTCCTCAGACTTGAAAAAACACTGGCAAAATAGGATGTCACCCCAAAAGATGAAACTACAGAGATGAGCTCTCCATGCTGCCCCAACCAGCAGGCTCCTGCCTCGGCCCTGTCCGGTAAGTGGTTGCTTTTCCTCAGGAAATGTTGCTTTGTGCTAACCTAGCATGGCAGAAGCACCCTCCTCGCTCCCCACCCCTTGTGACCTCATGGTCGTAAGGCAAGCTCTGTCTCTCTGCCCTCAGCACGGGAAGACAGCGGCCTCATTATTTGGGTTACAGCAGGGCCAAAGACCCGGCCGAGATCACAGCCTCTTTGTACGAGGCTCTGCAGACACACAGCGGGGGACTCTTCCTGCCCTGAGCAGCTTCCAAACTCAAGCTGAAAGGGCTACCAAAGGGAGGTGAGATGGGGTTTGCCCAGGTCACCTTGTGCCCTAGGGATAGGGCTCTCATCAGAGCCCAGCTCGGTGCCCAGATGCCCAGCTTACTGCCTGCCGTGCTGCTAAGCTTGTGCAACGCCTCTGTTTTAGAAGAGCAGACCCTCTCGGAAAAGCAAACCAATCCTGAATCCCACACCCCAGAAGGCTGGCCCCGAGGGCAGAGGTTCAGAGCAGTCACATTTGCAGCACCATAGAAAGTCGATTGGTTTCTGATCTACCAGCATGATTTTCCTAGCTGAGTTTCAAAGAAGGAAAGGGATAAACAAGCACAAGGCGGACGTGTTTGCAGGCACGTTCCTCTGCCGCAGAAACCCTGACCTAAGCAGGTTCCCAAGAACAGTGTGCAGACATATGGGCTTTGAGATAGAAAAGGTCCCAAAAACACCACCTGCATTTGGAGCATGGCTAAGGCACCAGCCACCAGCACCACCAACCTCTCCTGTAGTATCTTGCGTGGCTACAAGATGGCAGTAAAACACCTGGCACAGGCAGCAGTTCCATCAAGACAGCTTGTTTGGGCACCCGATCCCGGAGAAGCAAGGAAAAAAACTGCTCCTGCTGGGGCCAAGGAACAGGCTGGCGCCCCCAGGCTTCTTCCAGCCCCAGCGTGTCCTGGAACCAGGCCAGACAGACCCTGTGCCACCTCCGAGAACCACCACCTGCATCTCTATTTCTGTTTTTCATTTGACCATCACCATTAGACGATCAGCTCACACTCAAGTACGTTTACGTTGCCCTACAAGACAGGTCCTACAACCTCCACCTGCCGGATGGGGCGCAGAGCAAGCCCAAGTGGCAGAGAAAACTTAGAGGGGACCATGGCCACCAAGGCAGGACAACTTCTGCTTCCTAACGTACCCCTGCAGAAAGCAGGCAACAACACAGACGCACAGGAAGAGCACGTTTGCAAAACCACAACACTTTGGCAAAAGGCCTGCTTTTGCTAACAGTATCACGCTGTAGCCAAGGGCCTTAGCGCAGCTCAGGCTACCGCCGCGCTACGTGCTGTACGCAGGGACATGAGGAACGGAGCGCTGCCCTCACTGCACAGGGTTGATGAGCAAGGCTTGTCCTGGCAGTGAAAGGCTCAGATAAACATCAGAATCCATTTTAAAAGGTCAAGAACATGCCCCTTCGGCTGTGTAGCTGATTTAATACATCCCCTGGGTAAAGGTAGTACCCTTTAAAGCTTCTCGGAGCTCCTCACGTGGTAGCAGTGAGAACGGTTGCCATTAATGGATGTTCATCGCTTCTTTAGGAACAGATTTTAAGGGATTATGGTCTAAGAATAGTCTATGTCATTGTATTGTTCAGTGAAAAGCAGCTGCCTTGGCAGCCTAAGGAGCACACCAAGAAGCAATCCTAAGGAACCAATTATAGGGAGCTGCAAACCAAACTCTAGCTGGATGCCCAGCCACTGAAAGTACCACCCTGTTTGGTGACGATCATGTGCCAAAGGTGGCTTTCAAACACGAAGTAACCTTAGACCCAACAGACTCATGTGCAGAACTGCTACAAGCTTTCACCAAGGCCAAGTTAAGGGGCTCATAAGACACTTCTGTGAAGCTATGAAGGCTTCTAGCTGGAAAAAAAAATCCAAATATAATTCTTGGAGCACAGGCCTCCAGCAAACTAGGAAGAACCTCTTCAAAGACCTACCCGTTGAACCAGCATTGCACAGTCCTCCCTTCCCTTGAAAGCAAGCCAACAGCCAACACAGGATTGGACTACAGATCTCCTATCTGAACTAACACACTGGCTTTCCTACAGAAGTTTTAGCAACACTAGCAACACACAAGCACCACTTTCCCATTGTCAGCATCTCACACATTGGCTCAGGGTACCTGTGCATTGGGCAGCTCCCACTCCTTCCCTTTCACCTCAAAGCTCCTCTGCCTCAACTCCTCCACAAACCTCAACCATGCTTGGTGAACACTGGTGTCACATCTTCCTCCCTACAGAGCTCAGGATTCGTCACTGCAGCATCTTGTCAGAAAACTGAGCACACCCTAACACAGGACTTCAGTGTTCCAAGTGACCTTGGAAAGCAGAGCTACTTATTTGATCCTTAGGTGTGTCTTGAGGTCATGTTACCCATCAGCGCTACTTTCCTGATCATCTCATTTGTGATTCCTGTACCTAATACATGCCCTGAAGTATTTTATAAAATATTCATGACAGGGGAGGTTCATTAATACACCGGGAGAGCCAGCTTCAACTGTGTCTGCCCCTGATTAGCATGTTATCCATTTCCACTGCTGATTATTTCATTAAGAGTAGGTTTCTAACAGAAGAGATAGATTACTTCAATCTTGACAGATCACCACAAGTTTAGTCAAGCAATGAGTGACCCAAACAAGCCTTTCCATACCTAGATTTTTAATTCACATGGTTGGGGCAATTTCATAGCCAAATCTCTTTAGAGTGCAAGTCTTAAACATCTTAAACCAGCAATAAAAAGTAAAATATAAATTTTTATTTAGAATTAAAGCAAATACTTCAGTATCACAAACACAATATTAAACTTCAAGAAATATACTGCTAATTTGGAGGGAGCATTTATTTGCACAACCACAACATGCGCACAAATCCAGAAAAAGATGTGGAGTCTGAAATTTTCAACATCTCACCACCAGAGCAGTTGGTCACAACATTTCATACAAACAGTTATATATACTGTAATAGATGTTGACAAAATTTCTACAGAATCATCTTTATAGACAACAAGAAAGCTCTAAGAGGCAAACATTGCAATCTATTCTTCTTCTGATGAGTCTCTCTCAAACGTGTAGGCCATGAAGCAAGCATCTGGTCTCTTGGGGACAAGGGGATGCCCTGGTCTCACAATCTCAAAGCCCAAAAAGCTGAAAGTACGGAGCAATGCAGCTAGAAGAAAGCAGAAAATACACATTTCAATCACTTGATATCATGCAAAGCTAACAGAGCATTCGGAAAAAAAACACTTCAAATGTTGCATAAGTAACTCGAGTCAATGGGTTGAGCACCTACCTCTATCATCTCTGTTTTTGTGGAAACAAATGAAGACATGATCAACTCGAAGCTGTTCCTCAGCAAACTCGAGAAGAACTGCAAAACTAGAAGACAAATGAAAAGACACACAGTTAATACAAGCCAATATTTGTCCTCCAGACATACCTACCAAGTCCTCATAAGCAAATGCATTTATAAGGACAAGTAACGGGCTGGGGGTGGACAGATTCCCACCCACAAGGAAACATCCCTGAGCCCTAGGTATAACTTGGAGGGCAGAAATCCAAGTCTTCATTAAAAAATAAGCTTTTTGCAACTGAAAAGAGTATTTCAGTGACATCAGCTCCACTCAAGCTGCTATTCTAAAGAAAAGCTCAAAAATACGGACTGGTATTTTTGCTAGATAATGAGTAGTTACTCTTAATACATGGGAATACAGCTTGTAGCAGACTTTCTTGCTCCTAACTGGCAAAACAGAATCACTTAGCTACAGCTGACTTCAAGAAGCTACAAGCACCATAATTGGCCCTAAACTTCCAGGGCAAAAGGAAGACTTTTCAGTTGCATTTTGAGGCAGTCGACCCCATAGCATCATTGCCCTGCACTGAGGAACCTTCTGGAAGGAGGCCAGGAAATGTTTTGTTGCATTTTGTTCTCCTTACCTGTCTTTGCTCCCTTCAGGCAGAGCACCACTGGGAATTTCTATGTAGAGGTTGTTGTTGTTCAGCACTGCTCTCCAACTAATGTGTTTGGCATCTGTAAGCCTTGACTGGACATTCAGAATTCTTGTCCTGTTATTAGATGTTAGTTCTTCTGTTACATTCAGCCGATTATCCTGTAGTGTTAAGATATGCAAAGTTACTGGTGATCCAGTATAAAGAAAGGTAACTCCCATTAGTAGGATTGAGGCAAGAAAATCAAGAAACCATAGCAAATGGCTTTACTCACCGAATAAAATAAATTAGCTGAAAGATTGTGATCCCTCTGACTATTCCCTCGCCCACCTGGGATCTTCAGGGGTGGGTGAGGGACATCAGGAGCACCACCGAGGCCCCGGACCCAGGTTACTACAGCAATTGAAGGGAACCCTGGAACTAGAAAAGAATTGCAGATACGAAGTCAACAAGCAGTTTTCTTAAGTAAAGCCTTGTGAACTTTGTATTTGAAACTGTGATTAGGATGGGAGTTTTTTAAAAATAACCCCCAGGCCAGTGGAACTCCTCCCACTACAACCTAGGCAAGCTTTAAGACAAAGGAATTTCCAGGCCAAGCACTGGAATATAATACTATATAAAGCCCAGATCCACAGGCCTTAGAAAACACTGCTGAGAAATTTTGACTGAATTTGGACATGAAAATATTCTCAATTTAAAATGCACTTCCCAGACCAAGGCAGCAGTCTACCTGATCTGATTAAGAGACAAATGGAACTGGTTTGCTATCCATGCAAAATACCATTTTCTCCTCCTCCCCCACTTTGACCTTGTAATAATTATCAAGAATCTACCTGCCCAGCAAGCTAGGCATCATTCCTCCTCCTGATACGCAGCCATAATTACATTAGATCTTTGCATCAGCACTCTTGGCTTGAGGTCAGAAAAATACATGAAAGTCAGAGATGTCAATCTACCTCAACTGCTTTCACTATGCAAAGCTCAGGCAAGCAGGCTTGCCAGTTTTAAGTCATTTGAGACTACATCTCAGTATTTGAAAACCTCCTTGAGTCTTTCTACTTCCAGAGCAATTTTATGCAGCTCTGCTGAGTTCGGTATTGAAGGCTAAAGACGTTATCCTCATAAAATGAGATGGTTCTTGCATGTAGGCTAAGTTTGCCCGTCTGAAAGGCTGCTTAAGCGAATAAACCTTCTACTGTACTAAGAGCAGGCGCGAGGCTGCTGGCCCCTCCCTCTGCACCATCTCTCACCCTGCAGGCTTATTCTTCAGTTGCGTCATCTCAGCAGATGCAGCAATCGAGGCCCTTAGGGAAATTTTCACAATCGTCCTGTCTGTGAGTGCCAGCAGCCATTTGCAAATGAGAATAAACATGTACAAAATAATCCACCATTTTGCACAGTTCATGCTAGGTTTTTTTTTTTTTTAATTGGTCATAAAGGTGATGAACCATCCATATTAAAAAGCACCTGCATGGCCACACAGACCATCTATTATATGCTGGAGAGGATTGGTAAGGGCAGTAACTACAAAATTGCATTGATCCAAAGGGGAAATTAGAATTTGCTTTATTTCAATTAAGTGGACCTTCAATCCATTATTTTTAAGCTCTTTTCAAGAGTTTCCTTTAATAGTAGCATTAAAAACCTATTATTTTAGCCAAGATTGATCGAACATCTTGGTATTCCAGGGTGCCCTTATAAAAAAAATCTGTATTTAAGCACCTTGCTCCAAACTTTTCAAGAGAAATTGTTATAAGGGAGCACGGAAATCCTTCATATTCTATGATTTTTACCTTTGACCCAGGTAGGATTAATATTGTCCGAGATGACTAAAATGGGGAATATATGAGGTTTGTGTACTACTTTCAGAGAAAGAAAAGACGGAGCTTTCTTTGGAGAGCAACCAAGTATGAAAAAAAAGGTTTCTAAAGAACTCAAGGAGAAACTAGTGTTTTAATTCACATACCAGGTCTGATCATCGCTTTCTTTATACGAGAGCAGATGAGTGTTCTACGCTTCAGCACTCTACACGGCTCACCCTGATATTCAGATTTTTTCTTCCCAGCATCTGTTGGGATTGTTTTAATCCTGTGGTTGAAATTTAAGCTAACGGCTCTCTTAGCACTCTTACTTTAGGCTCAGTAGCCTCGATTCGTTTTCGAGAATATCCACGGTTACATAAGGGGATCAGGGCTGCGGCCCCTGGGCCGGCCCTGCCGAGCCGCGTGTTTGTGCCACGGCAGCACCGGGCAGCTCAGGCCCTGCCTTTTGTCTCGAGGCACCTTTGAGCCCACGGGCTCCCCCGCGGGACGCAGGGCTGAGGCGGGAGGGGCCTTTTCCGAGGCTCCCGGCCGCGGTTTTTGCGGGACGGGGGCTGCTCACG